ATTTTTATATGTCATGTCTCCTTACTCTAACTTCAAATTCTCACCAAATATGTACCACTAGGCTTAAATCAGGTAATTGAGGGGGTGTTTTTAGTACTTGGGGACAATTATAATAATACCAGAGGTGTACGTCTAGATCAGCGAGCATGGTATTTAAGTTGTTATAAAAAGGAGTCATTTCCAGTGCTCAAATTTCGTTAGGGTAACTTCACACACACACAAATTGTTCTTTTAAACATTTAAATAAACCTCATGATTCACAGTACGATAAAAAAATACAAATTACTTATTCCTGATGCCTATTTACACCGCCGCCACGTTGCACTGTTATAACTAAGTTTTTGGGATTAAGCTTCAGAAAATTTAACTTTGACAGAAAATTGGTTAAGATGACACCAAATTCAACGGTTTTTGTTCCGAAGGGTGTATAGTACACATAAAGGCCTCAAAAACGGGTATAGCAGATAGTATGCAAATAATGGAAGTATTCAACATTTAGAACAGGGGTGGCAAACATTTTTAGAAAGAGTGCCACTTTCAGATACAAAATAATTATGCTTGCTACTTCCAACTTTTCGAAACAGTGAAAAGACGAAAAAATGTTACTTATAAACTTATTAAGTAATTTTTATGCGGAGAGCTTATTTTTAATGCAAATCTTAGTGAAAATTTAAAAATAATATAATAAATGAGACCAAAGTACATATTTAGATTTTATTGTTAACGAATTCAGTTAGTTTTGAATGGTATTTTGATTTTGTTATGTTCATAATAGGAAAACTTTGTTTACAAACGTATGTTGATTAAAATCTACTACTATATCTGAAAGCCAAATCGTGCAAATTTGAAAAATTGCTTGTTAGTACAAATTTTAAAAATTCTATATAATTCCTTATATTTGCTTTTCCGTTTAGTATGGTGTTGTAGACAATAGTTTCCATTCGGATTTCAAGTGAGTAACAATTAACATTTTGCTGAGAAATTAAAAAATGATTTGTGAAAAGATTTGCTTTTTTCATCGTCTTGAAAAACATCATAGTTCTGAAAGTATCCTACAAAATGGATATTAAATTTTTAAATCTATCACATCTCGGAGAAATATTGACTTTGGTAAATTGTTCCTGAATAAATATGAAATATGTTAATTTTGTTCTCAAAAATCAAGGCAAAAAAAGCAAAAGTTCGTTCCTTAAAGTAAAAAATATGATCAACTATATATAGAGCAGGAAAATACAAACTTTTCTCTGTAATCTTAGATTTAAATAATTTTAATAATATCGGTAAGAAAAGCTACATCACATAGCCAATCTTCATTCTAGAATAGCAAGTACTCACTGGATAGATCAGTGTGTGTGTTTTCTTCCAGATATTTTTAAAAAATAAGCTCTCTCAAATTCCAAATCCTCGTGAGTGAAAAAGGCTTTGGAAAACCAACTCGCACTACAAAGCAGGTGCATTCTCTACACGATAAATTTCTATTGTAACTAATTTAAGTGAATTTAAAATAACTCCCGAGGAATTTTTTTGTTTGAGATAACCATATTTCAAAGTAATTGTAAAAAATATTTGTTGTTTACTATTACCTCTTCAAATTTTTTATTAAGTATCCGCGTGTAACTAAACAACACATCCTTGCCACATTGTGGAACGCGTGACGTGGATGGCCACCCCTGATTTAGAATAACGCGTTGTGGTTAAGTACATTTAAGACAACACGTATATCAAAAAGCTATTACATTGATTATTGCCGCTAAAAGGCTAATTTTTAAGATTTAAGTGTTTTTCAACATGGGCTAATAGTCGGCGTACAAGAAATGGGGGACAGCACTTCCGAAGTTGCTATGAAATTTGTGAGTGATTTATTGAGTAATAACGTCGCACTGTTTAGCTACTCGAAGAATTTTGACGACAGACCTTGTATTTTTGAACCATGGTCAATGAAATGTGCCAGAAATTTTTTGCAAGACCATTTCAAGGGCGAAACAGGTTTCTGGAAAAAAATCAAATCTCTGACAGCGGTGTGGCCGGAAAATGACCTTGACAGAACGGGATCATCGACGACTGAAAATAATTATTACATGAGATAGGCGTTCAACACTTCCTAAATTGTTGTGGGGATTTGAATACAAACCCCTTAGCAAGAGCCAGCGTATGCACTGTGCAAAATACCCTAATTCATATGGGCTTCTGCAGCCGCAGAGTGTCTCGTGTAACGTTGTTGATGCAATAGTACAGAGATCTATGCCTTACGTAAGATCTCCCTCAATGTCGTTGTAATCTTAATGACTGTAAAGACATTATCTGGTCTCTCAAATTACGTTTCCAATTGTATCGGATGAATGAACGTGTACGGGTGTGGAGAAAACCACAAGAATTCATCGATCCCTTGTGCCTACAAGAAATTGTTCAAACTGGTGAAGGGTATGTGATGATATACAGTTAACGGATAGATTAGAGTTAGATTACATACCAATTGTCTCATTAATTGCCATGAAATGAGACAGTTGGTATGTCTAGACTTTACCATAACAAGTCAGCGATATGTTAACATCCTGTTTGACAACCTGCATCCATTCATGCTTGTAGGCATTCCAACTGACGTGGGCAATTCCAACAGAATAGTGCTCCATCTCAAAAACCTACAGTATTTACCAAGTGGATGGATAACTATTTTTTGAATTTCGCACCCTCTCTTAGACACGAGTATTATCAAGAATATCTTAGATGTTTTGCAATGTGCTTCTTTAGGAGATCTCCATTACCTCATGGCTTTGTGGACAGCCCTGCAGGAATCATGGTGCGAACTGTGTACATAATATCGTCACAACTTAGTGTAATCCACGCCTTGTTGAGGCAATTCAGCTTCTTTGGGGGGTTTTGCACGATATTAGAATGGTGTCATAGTTTTTCGGGTATTTCAGTGCAGTTTGGAGGGGAAAAAGGAAGAAATCAATCCCAAGAATTTAGTTTGAAAAATTAAGCATAGAGGTGGGTGAGTAACTCAGCTTCAGGATTTGGAACTTTATGATGGTATCGTGAATCATGAGCTTTATCGAAGCATTTAAAAGAACAATTAGAAATTATCCTCAAAAAATTTTGGTATTGCAGATGACTTCATTTTTCTAAAAGATAATGGCCCCAAGCATATTGCTCTAGAAGTACGACTCTAGTGTCTTTATAAGTGTTTCCAAATTCTGAAATCACCTCCTCAATTATTTGATTTAAGCCCAGTAGAACATATTTAGTAAGGGTATGTAGTTATATTAAGAAGACATATATATAAAACAAAAATTAGTAAAAACAATAAAAGCAATAAGTAAAAACAATAATCCCAGAAGAATAGATGAACATCGATGCAGACATAACATTAAAAAAATGATATCTATAATGAGGCATTTAAAAGATATTGTGGAAGTTAAAAGATAGATTTTGAATGCTAATATTTGTTTAATAGTACGAATATTTTTTGTGAGATTTTTAAAAGTTGTTGATTATTAATTTTTCAAAATAATAGTTACACTATAATTTAAATTTTATTATGTTACTCCAATAAGACCTTATTGCAGGTATTATTAAAAATATAATACTGATAAATTAGTTTTAATTAGTCGAATACATTAAAATTTATGGAAATTTGTAAGTGCACTTTTGAGAGTAACTCTATTCATTTTAAAGAAAGCAAACTAAAACAAAATTTCTAATAATTAGTCACATTACATTCAAAATTTCTTTCTTACTCGCTCCACAAATTTAATTCAAGTATAAATAAAAATTTCCAGTGATAAAGACATTTTCTATGTAACATGGCTTATAAAAGTATTCTCCACTTCTATGAAACCTGGAATCATTCGGAGATTATTAGTTTCTTCTTTTTATTGATTTGGATACACAACCGTATTCTCAAAACAATCTTACAAACATTTTTTCACTGATATAAAAAAAGCATTTTATAATATGTCACAATTTGTAATTTTCTTCACAATCTTTTCCTTTTTCAAAAATCTTTTATATTTCCTCTTCAGTTGAATTATTTCTTCTTTTTCTGCAATCTAAGTTATCAAACAAAATGTAAAAGGGTAAATAGAACGGTGAAATCTTCTGATTATTCTACCTTGTTGAATTTTATTTAAATGTATGCACAATTTTGCTTAGCTTACATAACAGGTTATTTTTTTCCTAAAGCTGCTACTGAAAAGTGAATGTTGATTATAAAGCTAACATTAAAGTTATTATTTCGTAAATGAAAATATAAAGTAAAAAACATTGTAAAACTTATTTTATAAAGTATTCAGCCATTATCTTATGTATATTCTAAAATTTACAATAATAAGTATATCTAGCATATATAAAAGAATGGCTAACATACATAACACAATATAGAATAAATAATTAAATTTGTCGGAGTTATGTTAATTATGTATGACTGTATCACAAAATTTTATTTTCTATGCAAAAATAATTCTTTTTATTTCTTCAGCCAAAAAACGTTATTTTCATAACTTTATGTTCAGATACTGTTACACAGATTTTTTTTTTTACTATTCTAGAAATCGTAATTTATATCAGAACTTATTGCGTTCAGCATAAATTAAAATACGTTAAAGAAACGACAAAGAAGTTATATCCCAAACAATAATTTTCAGATAAAACTGTTTAGTAAAAAAAATCATTTATTATTTTCATTACATTTAAAAGAACTGTATTTTTACAGTATAGGACAACAAGTAATATAAACAAAAAATTAAATTCCTACGTATGTCAACAAAGAAAAATTTATTTTAGCCATTTTTTATTAAATAATTACAATTAAATAATACATATGACCAAATCACAACATTAAGTGGCAAAATAGAAAGCGATTTTCCATGCAACTTTCCATTATCCTTTCTATATATGGTGTTGGACAATTATTTATGTTTGTTACTATTTATTCATTAAATAAATTTAATCTTACATAAAAATATTTTAGTAAAAATTAATAACATTCGCAAAAATTAAACCATCCCTGGAGGGATTCGAACCCACGCCCTTTGGATTAGAAGTCCAACGCGCTATCCGTTGCGCTACACAGACGCAATGAACGATTTTCCTTTTTATATATGGTGTTGGACCATTTTTTATTTGTTACTATTTATTCATTAATTAAAGAGAATCGATGAATTAATACTTGAAAAAACTGTATTAACATCAGGTGCCATCCACTACAAGGTTAAAAAAATGTATTTGAATTTGAGCGGATGAATAAAAAAGCATTTTATTAACAACTGAAAATATAAACATGATATATATATATATATATATAGAAATCATAACAGGTCTTCATTTTAGTCTATTGACTCTTTTGGCTTCTTACATTTTAAAGTTCTAATTCTGTTCCATGTTATGCATACACGCTTAGTTAATTCTTCTACAATAGACTTTTCCATCATTTTTAAAGTTGAGTTTCTTGAAATCTGGTTTAAATCTTCTAGCTTTGTTAGTGATATAATTTTGTATTATCAATTTTATTATGCATGTACTTCTTTCATTTTATGTAACTAATATATATATATATATATATATATATATGTATATATATGGAAGAAATTTATATAAAATATAGAACATAACAGGAAAAAAAAATTAAGATCAAATCTAATGAAATACAAATCAGAACCTAGCGAGTCAAAACGCAATTTCGGACTTAGGACCGAATAAGTGGGGTTAAACTAGTTTGAAGCGCCAACCTTCCCCCTTTGCAACTCGGTAGGAAAGACCAAAATAAAATAAATAGAAATTTAAAGTATAAAAATCCAAAGTATAAAAAATCCAAAGTATAAAAAATTCAAAGTATAAAAAATCTCATAGAAATATGAAAGAACAACCTACTACTCTTAAGCAAAAAATTCTCCCAAAATGTTTAAGCAGAAAAATATCAAAATAATTACCCAGTAAAAGGATTCTTCCAAAAAGATTTTTCAAAACTTCTGCTCACAGAGCTTATTCCAGGAGATCCAACACTCTTGAAACCGATGGAAAGCTTTTATATGTTGTGATAAAAATCTAAATTGCACTTAAATGCATCCTTTAAACCAGCTTGTAAGGAAGACGCCAAGAAAGATTACATTCAAATTTGGTAGGCTATAACTTGGTTGGTTGTCACAAATGTAGAAAATTGGTTGGTTGTCAAAATGTAGAAATTTGGTTTGGTTGCCAAAAATGTAGAAATTTTTCATTTTATAAGATTTTTAAGAAGGGTGTGGAAAAAATAAACTGTTTGAAGAGTGTTAAAACAGAATCTTCACAGAAATATATATATATATATATATATAGGGAGAGTGTGTGAACTAATAATAGGAACTGAAAAAGAAAAACCATTTTTAAGTGTTTTTCACTGAAGCCTTTAACGTCGTATTTGTCGAGTTGTTTAAGTTAAGAATATTGTCATTTTTCTTACAGGAAATATTTTAAGAAAAATTGACTTTATTTGTATCCAGAATAATTGGAAGCATAGATTTTAAACTATTTTTTGGTTGTTGTAAATTAATAATGTGTGTATTTATAGTTTTGATGCCAAATTTTCACATTTCTTTGAATCATATACTCCGTTGCATGTACATACTATAATTTCCTTACATTTAAAAGGCATTAAATTCTACTTTTTTAACAAATGGATGATTATGACGGTAGATAATGAAGAATATAAATGGATATGACTGAAAAAAATATATTAAACTTTAAAATGTTTTTGTATTCCAAAAATATGAAATAGTGAAAATCTATTTTTTTGTCTACGTGAAACTCTAGATAATTATTTATTTAACGTATATGACTACCCTATATAAAATTGTGAAGTTGCTTAAAATTGACAATTTTTTTTATGATTTTATTTTATAAGCCATCTTATTAGTTTTATATAAATACCAATTTTCTAATTTTCACTTCACTGGGGAAAAAACTACTAGTGTTTTAGTAAAAGCAGATGCTACTACTTTGAGCAACATGTTATAATTTAAAAGGCGTTTTACCAAAATGTTTTTTTAAATGCCCAAACGGGAACTGATATTGCTCAAAAAGATTTGAAAATAATTAACTGAAATTTTTTTGTTTGTTCTACATGATAGTAGAACTATTTTAACCTTCCGATATATCAATCACCGCTTTCTTACAAACGTTAGAGTACTTTGTGTGAATATAATCACTATTTTTTTAAGGAATTTCTTGTAATAGTCATGATAATTCCTCTTGTTTTTGTAAAAAATAAATTAAAATATCTCATATCCTGAATGTTATTTAAAAATGAATATCGAAGCAACACGTCAAAATTTAAAAATTGACAATTTGTTCATAAACTTTTTGTTCAAAATGGGTCCCGTTTATGTGCTTTTTTGTGAATTTTTGCCTTTTTTTCCCATTTAGTAATAATAATTTTCTTCTTAATTTTAACTTTTTTCCCTTAAAATGTAATAAATAAATCTAAAACCCTGAAAAATCCCCATACCTCCATTTTTTTTTTAAAAAAAAGTTCTCGAAACTACAACCTTAAATGAACATTTTAATTTAAAGATTTCAAACAAATTATGGTGTAACCTTTAAAATTCTAAGCCTTTATTCCGTTTTTGCTAAAATTAGATTAGATCATACGCTTAAAAAATTAATTTAACAATTTTAAAATTTTATATTGTAGTATTAATTTACTCGACGTTATTTTGACTCATGGAATTAATCAGAATATTAGAAGCATAAATAAGATTCCCAATGTATAAATTCTCTAAGTTTAATATTAACTTAACATTTATACTAAGGAAATATATATTTCTAGACATAATTACTTTCTGTCTAACTCAATTATTTTTCTCTTTGTGTCTAGTCAAAGTTTGTGTATCCCTTCGCAATTCTCTTTCATTCGATAACTACATAGCTTTTCATACGAACACTAATAATATATCCGTCATTCTAAACTGACATTCTTCCTCATTTCTATCTCTTACGAATTGATATGTGAATCTTCAGATCCCTGAACACGACGCTATTTATTACAGAGATCTCCCAAAGGTAATTAAGTAAACTAAATTCCGATCTAGCAATGATTGGGGAATAAGAATGGAATGAAATATCTCCTCACACACAATCAAATATCAGCGGTGATTGTCTTTTCGCTAAACATGAATATAATAAAGATCAATGCGTTTGTAAATACCAGCAAAGTACGAGTTTTGTTGATCAGGGAAAACTAATTTTAAATACATTTTATAGAACTGTTTACATTTAGCAGTAGATGGCATAGCAGTTTAATGAATCTTTTCTTATTTTATTATAGGAAATAAGTTTTTCAATCAATGTCTGATCCATGAATATTTTTCTACATACATTGCGCATAATAGTAAATCATGAATTATTTTTTTTCATTAGATTCAGGAATTTGAACAACTAAAACTATTTTCCTTAATATTTAATTTTAACATTTATGCATAATTGACTGGAATAAATAAAACGGGAATAAAAGTTATAATATGCAAATATTTTTCTAGGATATATGTTTTTCTTTCTTTCAATTTTGGAAAAATAATTAATTATTAAAAGATATAAAATTAAGAAAGATACATCTATTTTTTAAGATATTGCATGAAAGTGCGAGAATTATAAACAGATAATTTTTACAAAACTTTAAAACAAAATGAATTATGTATCATTTTAATTAGCTAATTGAACATGATGGATGAAATAAAAATAATTTGAAATGTATTATGAAGAAATAGTGAAAAATTCTATTCGGTTAATAATTTATAACTTTTCTGTTTACTTTAGTTAAATTTATAATTCTATTTAAAAAATTTTATTTTTAAACAACGTTCAATTTTTTATTATGCGTATGTATTAAAATTGTTCGAATTTATTTGTGATTTTTTAAAGTAAGTTTACTTTATTTTGCTGGCACTGTAATATATTAAAGGATTTATACGTGACCGATGCCGTACTATAAAAAATTTAAAAGAAACAAAGGTTTAATAAAACTTATAAACTCAAACTAAGAACAAAGAAATTCATTTTACTAGAAAACTATAATATCCTCACACAAATACAATTATCTATATTTTCACTAAGCTTTGATTTTATTATATCTAGAATTTCATAAAATAAGTATTTTAAAACGGTTAGTTTAGTTAAAAAAAGAATATAACTATGGAATTATTTTTATAAAAATTTTCCATTAATTTTTTCGATGTAAATTATGGTATGAAAGTATTAAAATATACTCAAAATTTAAATAACTATCACAGATGTAATTTGTCATATTTTTAAAGCATTAAATATTTTCGAAATACATATCACGCGTATAGAGTACTTACGGATTACTACAAAAAAAATTGGTATAGGAATAGTAATTTATATTTGTGTGCACCATTTTTTTTTTCTTTTTGCTTTCGAATTATGAGAAATAAATTTTTAAAGCATACCTTGTTATGAAGAAGAAAAAAATACTTTTTATTATTCTCAAGAAATAAATATGAAATTACGCATGGACGTGTCCTTTATATTTGGTATGTGAATGATTAATTATGAATTACATGGATTAAATAATATATTTTAAATTATAGGTTTAAGATTATAGAGCAAGCTTATTATCATCGAATAAGCTTAAATTATCATATATGGAAAGTCTCCTGTTATAGCTTTTTAAAGATTTTGAAGTAGATTTCATAACATAGTAGACTGTCATATTTATCACTAATTGTCCCAAGGAAGTTTATCTTAATCGACTTCAAGTTAGCCATTATATTTCAAAAAAAAATCTAGTATTACTACTTCTTATATTAATTATTAATTTACAATAATTTTATTTTTGAGATTACGCACTTATACAATCAATTTAAACTAACATCTTAAAGGTATGCGTAATGGTTTATTCAAAACTAAAATTCTTTCTAAAGAAAAAAACTTAAAAAAAAGATTTCATACTGAATGTTTGGAAAGCTAAAAAAATTAATAAATAACTAGTAATAATTCTGGATTTTTATAAATAAATATATAAAGAAACTATCTTTATTATAAAATAATAATTTTGTTTTCAATTTTGAATGAAAAATGGGAAT